AATTGAATGAGAGTGTAGCAAATGACAAAAAAAAAAAAAAAAAAAAACCATTTATTTATTAAAGAGAACAAATTGGCATACTTTTCATACTGTTTTAAACCATGTTTTGAAAAACTGAAAATCGGTCAAAACCAGTCTTGTTAAATAGGTATTTTAAAAAATGTTCATATTTTTCATTTTTTGCATTTTTATTTAATTAAAACTAATAAAGTAATTTTGATATCATCTCGTTTTTATGATCGATCGGACCAATTGAATTATTAAATCAGTAAGACAGTGGATTCGGTTTCCGATTCGTCCAGTTTTCAAAACGCGTAGATGTTACTCGTTTAACCCATATTGACATTTTATAATCCAAACCCTAGATGAAGATCCGAAGTTTTGTTCATTTCTTAATTATCAGTTACTTATGAATAATGCGACTTGATAGTTGATACATGACTAAAATCCCAATAATTATCCATAAAATTGAATAATATATATAGAAAAGTGTAACTTACATATGTGTCCCCCTATGCTTTACCAAAAACTACAAGTTCATTCCAAATTTAAAATTGTCCCAGTGTTATCCTTAACTTTGTATTTTGTTGTGAATATTCCAAATGTTCGTACCAAATTTAAAATTTTAGACTGAATTTGCAATTCTATGTAAAGAATATGAACGATATCTTTAATGAAATTCAAACTTAAGATTATATTGAGATAAAATTTAAATTTTGGACTAAACTTGTAAAAATAAAACATTAAGACCAAGTTTATAATTTAATTGATAAAAGTATAACAATAAACATAAATGACAAGATATGATATGTTATGCACAAAAGGATGCAAACAAAACAAATGCTTCCAACATTATGCTTTTCCAAAAATAGAAACTAACATGACATGAATTTTGAGACTTATATTTTTATACACAAATAGAAATGCTTTAGTGTTGTCTTCACTCTTATACTTGTATAAATTGTATTAAAGTTATCAATTATTAGTCTCAATTAAAATACTTAAAAATAATTATAATTGGTAAGAAATAAAACACGTTCAGTGCAACTCTATCGATTCATAAGTAGAAAAAAGAATATATAAAATTAATTTAACTTTTTTTTAGAATCAGGATATAAAAGGACAGTTCAGCAACATCATGATTTGTAAAAGGACCAATTATGATATTTTCATAAACTGGGTGGACCGTTAATATTAAAAGTCCGTACAAAGGTAGGACCACACTTAATTCTTGTGATCCGCCTGTCAAAATCTCCGGTCCATGTATCTCGGCGGGTTTTTATTAAAGCGACTTTTACGATCAAACCCCTGAATTTGTAATGAAATTACAAAAATGCCATTCTTGTTTACCCAATTAAATTGTCTTGTGGGCCCAACACAAACATCACGTAATCGCACGCTATCCCTTGTGGGACCCGTCCCATTGGATATTGCACAACTCCCTGTTCATCTAACAAAGTGGCATCTTTCTTGAAAATAACGTTACAAAATTTGTTTAGAATAATAATATAATATATTTTTGTTAATTTATGGAAAATCTATAAAAAAAAAAATTAATGAATTTTTGAATTTTAATTATTGAAACCGATAAGATAACACTAATTAACATTTGAAAACGGTTAGTATCAATTTTAAGGGTTAAATTACATATACAAAATCATAAATGATTTGTTTGTTAATAAATTTAAAGTTTAAGAACTTTTCTTGTGATTTTCTTTTTTATATAATATATATACTAGATTTATTTGAAAAAAACTTATATTTATTTATTAAAAAACTCAAATTACAGATAACTTATTTAATTAAAAAACATAGTAATTATAATATATGTCATTTTTAGATTTTTTTTATTCTTTTTAATATATATAATTACTACAATCTTAAAGATATTATTTATATCCTATATAACTAAAGGGGACATTGTTCAATAAGTGCATTTCTAAGCCAAATGCTATTTTATATAGAATTTTTAGTTTTCAGATATAAAACTTTTCCATAAAACTACTGGTGTTTTATAGTGAATATGGTATTATTGATGACAACTGGTGGTGGTGTGGACAAAGTGTGGTAGTGATGATTTGTAAATATGAGGTCTTTTATGGCAATGGTGACCGGCTAAGAGGGTGCAAAATCTGATAAAATGTTAAAATAGAAAAAAATGACAAATATGAGACGTTAGTAAACACAAAAACAGACTTTTATTGATTTATCGTAAAAATGTGTTTTATACCACATAGTGTGTATAATGAAGCTTTATTTAGGAATAACATCTCATAAACCTTTATTGTATGAGGTTTCGTTCGATTGTGTAAGAATCTTCGGTAAGTGATAGTTTTATGGTAAACGTTTTATACATTTATACACAAAGTCTAAAAATTCAACAATGAAGTAGTATTTAGCCTAGAAATACATTTCTTACGACAAATCAACAAGATCCTCTTAAGTTATATAGGATATAAATGGTACCTATAATTGTAGTAATGATATTTATTAAAAAAAATCACAAAAATTCCAAAAATGACATATAAATTATCATTATTGTGTTTTTTTTTTAAATCATCTTTATTTTGAGTTTTTTAATAAATATATAAGTTTTCTTCAAATAAATTTAATATATATAAAAAATACAAAAATCTCCAGAAATGTTCTTAAACTTTAATCTTATTAACGAAAAAGGCATCCATATTTTTGTGTTTGCAATTTAACCCTTAAAATAGGTACGAACCGCTTACAAGGGTTATTTTGCAAGTATTTACCGATTTTCAATAGTTAAATTGCAAATAATAATAATAATAATAATAATAATAATAATAATAATAATAATAAATTAAAATAAAAAACAAATGTGATTTTTTTGTCAATAGAGCCAAAATATAAAGATTTTTTTACAGATTTTCCTAACTTAAATAAAAAATTAAAAAAATCATTATTATACATATCAAATTATAACTTCTAATGAATAATATTGTCTTTAGATTTCACACTTTGGTCACCAAAGGTTTTTTTTTTTTTTTTTAAATTTAATTTTTTTATGTTGATAGGCTTGATTCTTTTAAAGAAAATAAATTATAAAAATTTTCTTTACAGAAAAAATTAACGTGCACATTTTTTTTACATAAAATGGTAGTCAATATGTTTAAACAAATTCATATACAGATTTTTTTTACATAAATGGGAGTTAATATGTTTAAATTGATACAATTCGCCTCTAAATGTTAATATTTAAATTTCAACCCTTTTTCTACTTTTGTTACAATGTTGATCTCTCCAAAAAATTTATGTATTCATTAAATATTATTTACAAAATTTCCCTAATTTTTTATAACTTGTTTTTTAATTTTCTTTAAAATTAATTAGCTTTTTTTAATTTTAGACAAAACTTCAAAAATAATCCTTGTGGTTTCACAAAATCTGAAGTTTAATCCCTAATTTACAAAAACTTCACGGATGGTCTCTGTGGTTTCAAAACTTTTAACATTTAATCATTCCGGCTCACTCCGTTATCATTTAGCCGTTAAGTAAGGGGTATTTTTGTCATTTCACTACCCAAGGACCATTTATGAGGTTTTCTATTACTTTTTTTAAATAAATTAAATTTAATATGCAATGGTCTCTCTCTCTCTCTCTCTCTTTCTCTCTCTCTCTCTCTCTCTCTCTCTCTCTCTCTCTCTCTCTCTCTCTCTCTCTCTCTCTCTCTCTCTCTCGTTTCAGCTTATGTATAAGCTTTAATGAATTCACCCTCTACCCCTGCTGGCATAGAACACCACTACAAACACCTACCAACATTTATCCTTTACCCTTGGACCGTGACTAGCAGCCACCAAGAACCACCCATCATGACTTGTAAGTTACAAGAATAGGGTTCTCACAATGTGTAATGAAATCTCGTAAGGATTGTGGAATCTTAGATACGTCTCCAATGATAGAAACTTGAATTTCATCCCTGTTATTAGAATTCCATTTTGAAAGTGGATTGAAATTGAACGAAAACTTATTCAAAGCGGTGGAAATTAGTCAATTACCTCGACATGGAAGCAACTTCATCTTTTAATGTGTTTTCAAGCAGTCTCATTAAGAAATCGACTTCGACCTACATAAACACAACTAATCAATCGACTGAACCCACAAAGTTCTAATGAAATTGGAATCCAATTTTGAAATTACACATACTTTAGGTCTTAACCAATTGTCCGATGAGAAGGCGAAGAATGTAAGAACTTGGATTCCCCACTTACGACACATATCCACCACAAACTTCAATGCTCCGACACTGGTCAAGTAGCCTGCCTGAGGCATCAATCCTCTTGACTGAGCTCATCTTCTATTTCCGTCAATGATGACTTCAACATGCTTTGGCATTAACTCGCGATGGAGTCCCACTGGAGTAACAATCGGTTCCTCTGGCCAAGTGATTCTAGCTCCGACATATTGGTCGTTGGTGATTACATGATGATGGGGGGTATTGGTTGATAAAGAAAAGGGGTTTGAAAGGCAAGAGCGATGAAAGGGAAAGAGATAGAATTATGAAAGAGGGTTTTCAGTTTTAGAAACACAGATTGGAGGGAGATGAAGGAACAACCCCACAATCGTTTTCACAAGATGTGTGCAGGAATCCGAAGGGAGAGAGAGAGAGAGAGAGAGAGAGAGGGGGGAGAGAGAGAGAGAGAGAGTGTGTGTGTGGGGGGGACCCCTTGCATATTTAATTTTATTTATTTAAAAAATAATAATAGAAAACCTCATAAATGGTCACTAGGCAGTGAAATGACAAAAATGTCCATTACTTAACGGCTAAATGGTAACAGAGTGAGCCGGAAGGACCAAATATTAAAAGTTTTGAAATCATAGGGATAATCCGTGAGGTTTTTGTAAATTAGGGACCAAACTTCAGATTTTGTGAAACCATCGGGAACATTTTTGACGTTTTGTCTTAATTTTATAACTTCTTTTACATTTTTTATAATGTGTTTAGAAAAGATTTTTACAGCAACGTACGGAGGGTACCATCCCCAGTTATGATTAAATTTGAAGCTATTTTATATTATGTTCTTGTTTAAGTTAATATTTGAAGCTACTTTATAGTAAAAAGTAACGAGAAATCAAATATCTTTTTACCTTTTGTTTCTAATTATTTTCTATTTGTTATAGCAAAGCAAATGCCAAAATTAAAAGAAGAGATTAAAAGAGATTAATCGATTTCATGTCATCTTTTTATATGATTCAAAAGATGGATATAAACAAAAGATATGAAGATATTTAATTTCTTCAAAAGAATAAATAAAATGATACAGGTCAAAAAATTTAAACTTTAAAATTATCAAACAACAACAAACAAACACAAATATAGATCTAGTATAGACAAATCTAGTAGAGACAAAGCGTTACCGGATCCATACAATTTGAAATAACACTTTTACTTCATGACGTTATTTCGAAAACTTTTCTTGACAAAGGATATTGTCGCGAAAAATCTACCTAGGTTATTACTTATTACTTAGAATCAGCTTTAGAAACATCATCATTTTTTTCGATACAAACTGTCGCGAAATTATGCAGAAGTGTTGCAACATGATGTGTCAAAAATCATACTTTTTTTTGGAACAACCGAAAAATCATATTTTTTAACAATGTTTTTGATTAATATCAATTGCATACACTTTGTCACTTCAAATTAATAATATTTGTTTACATATCACAATTAAAAAATAATTTAACAAGATAAACATGCAAACACATAGGTGGATTTAAGGTGTAGTTTAAGAGTAGGTTAGATTTGCCGTTTCAAAAAAAAAAAAAAAAAAAAAAAAAAAAAAAAATTTAATTAAAATTGTCCCTTTTTTTTTGTTCAAATCGATGAAACTAAATTTGCGTACATCATACACAATTTTACTTTTTATGTATAGGAACTATATACCACATCAATTTCTCCAAACAAAAAAATATATTTTACATGTGCTAATAAACCTAGAACGGAATTCCATTGTTGATATGTGATGGATTTTCAAACACACACTCAACAGAAGCAACATAAAATTTACCTGTAACACCATGTTTCCGGACATTTTGTGATTTAGGGTCTTGGGCCGAAAATCGATTACGTAAAATCTTTGAGGCCTTAAGGAGGTGAAGTTAGTGCTTGAGAAGGAGGTAATGATGGTTGGGATATCAAACCTTTGAATTGTGTTTTGGATCGAATAGTGAAAAAGGAAAAGTAAAAGGCCAGGGCTTCGCATGAAATATGGATTTTTGTTCGAGGAATTTGTAGTCCAAGATATCTAGATAATATCTTGGGGATTTTCATCACCTTTCAGTGGATATAAAGAACATCGAAATCGAAGTTAGAACGAAGAAGTTATGGTCATTTGAAGTTATGAGGGTGTTTAGGTTGAGCCTAGTACGTTGGGCGTACTAGGTAAGAGGTGATCGCGAAGACTAGCCTAATACATTGGGCGTACTAGGAGTATGCTGGGCATACGCAAGCTGATGTCAACCCCTAATTTTTAAGGTTTCATCCCTATTTAAACACATTATCTCACCCTTGGACCTCCCATTATCAGCCTCCACTCCCTTTAAGCCCTAATATCGAACCCTAGCCTTAAGGGTGAAGATCTTGGCATCTTTTGGTGATTTTGTGCATTCTTGTTAAGGAAGAAGGTCTTTGAAGAATGTGGTTTTGCTTGCAAGCTTGTAGATCCAAAAACTCCTTCATCTTATGCATTTTTGAAGGTATAAATTTCATACCTTGCTGATGTTCTTTCTAGATCTTTTTAGATGGGTATTTATGAGCTTTTGTCCCAAAAGCTTGGACCTTTGTGAGTATGAGGTACTCCAGAGCTTCTTGGCTATCTTTTTAGATGTTTTTGAGTGCCTTGATCCATAAAAATGGGTGTTTGATCATTTTCTTTGGCCCATGCATGAGTTAAGTGACCTTAAGTGTTGTGGAAATTAGATATTTGAGGTTTGAGCCCTCTTTGTCATGCAAAGACTTAAAGTCAGAGACTTTATGGGTTAAGACATTATTTGGGATTAGATCTGAGAAGTGGACTTCATTGTTTAACTGATTAAGCACTTAATGGTGATTTGGGGTTGGCTAGGCATAGCCAGCTCGTACGCTTTGCGTACTGACCAAAGAAAGTGTACGTTAGTCGTAAGTCTGAGTATGCCAAGCGTATTCAGCTGCCATTGACATTTGTTGACTTTTGGGTTTTGGGCTATATTTGGACTACTAGGGTTTTGGGCCATGTTGGGCCACTAGCCTTTTTGACTTCGGGACATTGTTAGGATTTGGGCCTATAGTGGGCTTTAGGCATCATTTAGGAATTTGGGCCATTGTAGACTTTTGGGTGTCTTTAGGCATGGCCCAGGTATGGTTTATGACCTGATAATTAATTAGGATATTATCTGATGTTATTTGGTGTGGAGGTTTCCCGGATCAGTAGTTTGAGCATTTATCTGGTTGTTTCAACAGCTTGAGTTGAGTCTCCTCCATGTACTTGTGATTCGATGGCACCAATGTCGGCTCACTAAATTATGTATGTAGGATGCTAGTTGTCTTTGTGATTGTTGCATGTTTGTATGAGTCTAAGTGGTAGAATAGTTGTATATGTGATGACCATTTGGGTCTAGCTATTATTATTATGTTATGTTGTTTATATGTGATTGACACTACTGATAGTCTCCAGGGTTGCTGATAACCCATCGGGCGTGCTGTTAGCCTAATGGGACTGCTGATAGTCCCCAGGCTTCCTGATAACACATAACTATTTATTTATGATGTGATGTGTGTGGTATTTTGGGGAACTCACTAAGTTGTGTGCTTATGATTTGTGGTTTACATGTTTCGGGTTTTCTTATTAGAAAGGAGGGTCACAGCTCGATTGCATCGCATCAATTTGGGGACTTGTGTACTTGATAACTTTTAGTAATACTCTGATAAATGTTTTAAGATCTTGTAGTTGTGATTTAAATAAATACTTAAAGTTTTAATTGAAAATTTTGGGTTGAAATTCGGGGCGTTACAAGTTGGTATCAGAGCCTTGGTTTGAGGGATTCAAACATACTCTTGGGTATGCTTGAACTCAAACTAAGGATTTGGTAAAAACTTTCTAAAAGGAATTGATTTTCTAATTTTTTTTTTTAAAAAAATGAGTGCAATGCGTGCAATCAACCGAGTTCAAGTAAGTATTTCCCAAAATACCCATGCGTGTTATATGATTGATGTTTGATGTGAATATATGAGAATCGCATGATAGATTATGGTTGAGGATCTGCTCAGTGTTGCATGGTAGGATGCCTGATTAGGAGATATTCCTTTACACATGTTGTGTAAGATGGTAATGATGCACGCTAGTGATTAGAGATCTTTAGGAGCTTCTGAGGTAGGACTATTTGTTTATGTGATGTTATTAGTTCTTGATGCCCAAATGATGCTTGCTTTGTTCTTTGTATGACTCATATTAATGTGAGTTAGTTATCACATGAATATGTTAAGTTACATGTAGTAAGGGTTAAATAATCTTAGAGTGGTTGAATGGGCCTTATTGCGCATCTCTTTTTTGAGTATAATTGTTTTAGGGTTGAGTCTTTTAGTCTAAGGATTATATAAGATTTATTGCATGTAATTGTATTCATGAAGTATTTAACTGAAATTAGTAGAGGTCCTTTAGCATCTGATGGCATGGTGAGGTGGGAATCCTAGGAGAGCCTAGGAAAAGCTTTAGTGAAAAAGGTGCGATGTTTAGCATATTTTGGATGGTATCACTATAAGGAAGTAACTTAGAGGATTCATGATTATTTTGAGGAAAGTACGGATAGGTGTGGAAGGTAGTATTGGGCCTGTACTACTCACTACTAGAAAACTTGCCTTTAATGACGCGCAAACAATGACACTCGCCGATAGAGGGCGCGCATTTGTGGGTGCCCTAAAAAATATTGTCAGTTTTGCAAAATTTGACGGATAGAAGACACGCATTTGTGCGTGCCCTAAAATTAGTGTTAGAAAAGAGAAAAAAGGAAATGCGGAGGGCGCCTTTTATAAAATGTGCGTCATGTAAGTATGTCGCTTTATAAATTTTTAATGAAACACGCCTTTTAGGCGGGAAATGATCGATCGACAAAAATCCCCAAATTTTGGAGGACCCGCTCATTCATTCCTCTCCACTTGCTCAAAATTTTGGAGGACCCGCTCATTCATTCCTCTCCACTTGCTGATGACCTTCATTTTCTCCCCCTCCTTCTCTCAATCAAGAAACCTTAACCTTTCTCTCTATTCACGAGCCAGTAATCACGGCAAAGAAGATCAACAACCAAGACCAACTAGTTCGATTTATCCCTAAAACTGGTACAAATTCTGCAAATTCCATGGCCGCTTTAATATCCATAGATACGCTTTGAACCAATCTAACCACACCGTTGCCCAAAATTCTTCAAATATGGTCCATCTTCATCTTTTATCTTCGCATATGGCCCATCTTCACATAATCAATAAGTTACTAGGGATTTGAACCGGACCTCACATACTTCTTAGGGCTCACAACAGCTTCTCACATTTAGAAGCCCTTCCCGCTGGTAAAAAAAACCCTTCCGATGGACACCCTAACCCAATGCCTTAAGCAGTGCCTCCACTGCCCACCATGTTTGTCATCATCTTCATCTAGGAGTTGTTCTGTTGCTCATCGGTGCCACATGGCTTCCCAGAATAAGTCGTTGAGAACACGTATTGTTCTAGTGATAGTCTTCCATCTCCAAATGACCTACAAATCTGCAACCAAAAATGTTACAACATCAAAACACGTATTGCAGATCCTGCTTCTTTGGACCGCAATGATTGGGCGTCGTTGATCTCTTCCAGGAGTTTCTTTTTGACAACAATGGCATCAGTCAGGTACTTTACATGTTAATAGATTTCTAGGGCTTGTGTATGTTTCAATTTATATGCAACTTCCCCAAATTAATCTAGAGAAACTTCTAGGGTTTATGATTTTTTAGGTAATCTGTAGTGATTAGGTTAATTTACTCATAGTTTTGATTAAGTTTTTTTTATCATCATGTCCAAGTCCCTTCTCTACCGTGTTCATGTGAGTCTTATACTCGGTAAGAGGAAACCGAATGAAAAAAATTCTTTTGGTTTCTGCATATATTTCCGGTAGAGCTCAATTTATGAATTTTATTTGCACTTTCTGCCATAGGATCATTTGTTAGGACTATATTTGTTCTATGGTAAAAGCTATTTCATTTCAACTTTTACCCTCGTGAATGAAAATGAGAATGTTGATTGATTCTTCAATGGATTCAGCTACAAAGTTCATGTCTAAATAGATTCTTGGATCCTTAATGACAATCACAAAAACAATGCATTTCAGATGTTTTACGGAATTATTTAAAGAGTATTGATTACGACACAACCAATTATTTATGAAAATGACCATTATGCCCTTGTCTCTTTCGTCTTCTTCATGTCCTTCATCTTCCTCCACAAGAAACCTGAAACCAAACAAAATCCCCAAAAGTCAAATTAAAAAAAAAACATAACAAAAACAAAAAACAAATATTGGGATCTGTTAGTGAATAAGAAGTAGTACTCAAATGGATAAAATTCAAAAAAGAAGAAAAGAAGATGAATTCTCAAATGAACAGTTAAAAGACTATGTAGCTGGTATCTATTTTTAGTAGTGCAATTACCAGCTTGAACTGTCTAGTTTAACAGACTATTAATATGGAATGGATTATTATGTTACATTATATCCCAAAAGGCACTTTATGATCCACCTGCTTATTATAACTTAGGAAAAAAATCAGTGATTTCGTTAATATTTTCATTGTAGTTTCTTGAGAGCAATAATGTTTTGCATCTGACAGTTACTATTACCGATCCCTTACAATGTATTATCCATATAAAGGGTCCCACTTTTTTTTTTGGTTTCTACTTTAGGATTTCTAGATTTTAATATTACTGTTATGTTGACATCTTCTTGTAGGCTATTTCTACTCCTGTTTTATTTGTTGTTGGTGAACGCTATTACAAAGTTACTGCAGATGCATTAAGAGTATGCGGGGAACTTGTTCGAGCAAACATTGAGGTGTTATCCCTTTCTATTTCATGATCTATTCCAAAAATTTCTTGTATTTATCTATTTTTCAGCTTTGATATTACTTTATTGATTTGTTTAGGTTTCTAATTTTGATTTCAAACCTTATGTCCATCCAATATATAATGCCATCTTGTCACGATTGACAAACCGAGATCAAGACCAGGTTAGTACTTGTTTGTGAACTTGTATTGGGAATTTGGGATAACATAGTTGTCTTTCTCCAGGAAGTTAAGGAATGTGCTATCTCTTGTATGGGGCTTGTTGTTTCAACATTTGGTGATCATCTCACAGCAAAATTACTGGCTTGCCTTCCTGTTCTTGTAGATCGAATGGGAAATGAGATACCCCGACTTACAACTGTTAAGGTTTGTTTATATACTTTCTTTAGGTTTCATTATTGAATGTTGAAGCTTTTTCCAAGTCAAGTTAGGATGTGTTTAGTTTGTGGATTCCAGTTGAATTGGAATTCGAGATTCCATTCCATGGCGTGTTTGGTTCCAAATGGCCGTAATCAGTTCCATCAGATTAAGAAGAATTAGAAAATGGTCCCTGTGCTTTCTGATTTTCATCGTGTTTGATCCAAAATTGAAACTTTTTTAAATTTTGTCCTTATTTCAAGGTTCCATATCGATTTTGGTCCTTGGAACCTTGAAATGAGAACCAAAATCGATATGAAACTCTGAAATAAGTACCTGAATCAGAAAGTCTCGGGGAGCAAGCACCAAATCGACAGAAACCAGCTTCTTGCTAACAAATGGACTGCGTGTTGTTTTTATGTTATGTTAATAAATTTTGTTGAGATATTTAGTTGGAAATTGAAGCTTCATGAATTCCTGAATTCTCTATTTTCAAGGAATCAAACCAACAACAACAGTTTGATTGCAAAAGATGGCCAAGCATGTTAGTCAATACAAGAGTTCCAGTGTTTTCGATGATGGTAATTTTTTCTCTTTGATTTAATAATAATATTTGTTTCTAAAAAGATTGTGCAAGTATTAATTTGCTTATTGGATTTATTTATTTTTCTTGTGTTTCAGGTGTTGAGACCACACCTGATGATGTTAAGGAGAAATTAATGGCAATGGATTTTCTGAAGATGTGAAGTGCAAGTTGACTACTCAATTAGTTTGACATGGTTTATAAACTTTGTCATGCATATATTCAATGGCAGATTTGTCTCCTGCCTAGCCTTTGTCTACAATCAGGAATTTCCATAAGGGTATTTAGTCTCTGGAACAGAAAACAATCATTTTGCCTGGTAATTTGTGTCTGGTTATAAAATTACACAAATTACCATTTTACCCCTGCAAGATATGCTTATATTTACTTACTAATTGGATGTGATACTTTGTGTACGGTTGGAAGGAACTGGAACTGGCCTTGTCGTACCTGAGAAACCTCTTGGAAAGTGAGTTGAATTTGATCTTCATCTTCTCTTTGAACATTCTTTCTTATAAAATTTTGTTTTATAGAATCTTTAATAGGAGTATGTTTGCTTAAATTTTATACAATGACAGGGTTTTTCATGTTCAATGCTTGCATATTCCTTCTCATGATCGAACACCATTTGATGGTTATCATCTTCTCTTGTATTTATATTATGTTAAAACTTCTAGGAACCAAATGAGAGAGTAAATGACCATTTTACCACTATATTTGCATGAAGGGTTGATTAAAATTATGGAGGAAAGTGTAAAGATTGATCAAAATTTGTCCCCAAATAAGCCGATTGATTTTCTTGGAGAATCTTTTAATCATGTGCTCTACCGATATGACAGTGGTTTTGGTGTCTTGGGACTTCCCGTGGATCATATTCAACATTTCAGCTTGTTACCCGGTAATTAATTAACTGTCTCTATCTACATGCTCTTTCACTTCACCATTGTATTTATTTTTCTTTAGTAAAATAAATATTAGGTAAAAGCATGGTGTGTTGTTATGAAACAAACAGGGCTTGTGTAGCCACTAAATGAAGCTTGTATATGGCGCCAAACAAGAGGCACCGCCACTGAAACTTTAGGAGCCACGAACAAAGCTAAATCCACAGAGAAGGTTCAATTACAATTTACAAATTTGCCCTTACGTTTTCTTAAATATTTTATTAATCCAATATTATCATATCTGTCATATCATGTATGTATGTTTTGGGATCCATGTGATCAAAATTTCCCTGGTGCTCCAACATTTTTTCCAGGTAAACCCAAAGGCTATTTGGTCATTAAAAATGTTAAATTTTTATGGTGTCTAATCTGTTATTAAATTTGCAGTTGTGCAATTTGCGGGGCAACATCCTGGTGGGCTTGGAGTTCCTGCTGTTGGCATGGCGTTCCCTGGCTATGTTACTCAGCCCAATGGAATGGGGAATTCAGAAATGACATGGTACTTTAAATATATATATATATATATAAGTAAATAAATATTTAAGATAATAATAGTTAGGTGATTAAATGGTTAAAATTGTGAAATTTGTTGTAGGCTACTTATTTTGGCTGGTGCTGCTGGGGCTTTTGGTTGCTTCACCTTATATCACAATCGATGGTGCTTATCATGCTATGCCATCTGGCCAGACCTCTGCATTGCCTCCTACAAGGTCTGTTACTTGTTATTATGATTAATGATTCTGAGGGTATTTTGGTCATTTACTCAAAATTTTGCGTTTTCAAGTTTACTAGTAGATCACACTTGCTTGACTAAATGTTATTTTGTATGCTTTCAAACTTGTCTTCTTCCTGAATTCTTTTTCTTTATAAGTTTAGCCTTATTCTTTTCTTCAATTAAGTGTTGTCTGGAGAGTGTTATATGAACAACAATAAATCAACATTTTTTCCTTCTTTTTCTTGTATGAACAATACATAGTCATAGTTTGACTTAATTATTTGCTTATTTTGCTTATTAGTTGCTTGTTTTCTAGCTTATTATAGTCACTGATTGGTTTCTTGTTATGCTTAAATCTTAACAGCTATCATGGCAACCTTTAACAGTAGTTTTGGACAGGCACCTTCTTGCAAAAGATATCGTGTACATGTTCTTCTGCTGCTATTGTGGATTCAGGAACATCCATGCTTACTGTTCCAACTGTATGTATCTCACGTGAAGCTTCTGCTAGAATTATTAATCTTAGAGATTTCAAGTTTTTCATATTTCTTGTATCTAATTAGTTTGTAAATTTCCATTATAACTTTTATTGATTTGTTTTATCTTTCCATGGAACGATTATTTGCATGACATTATATTTTGTGCAATGAATTGTATTTTTATATATGATATTTTATTTATTAAGAGTCATTAAATGAAAATTTAATTCAAAAATTAGTAAATCTAGAAAAAACATTTTTTTTTAAAACATATAAAATTACGATACGCAAAAATGTGTGTCATCTTCATTTATGACATGGCCTTTCTTGACAGGGGCTTCCTTGATACGCAATGTGTGTCATAAACACACGCATCGTAAGGTTACGACATGCAAATGCGTATCGTCTTCCTTTATGACAGGGCCTTTCTTGATACGCATTACGCGTCGTAAATGAGCGTCGTAAATGCGCGTCGTCTCTCTTTATGACAGGGCCTTCCTTGACGCGCATTTGTGCGTCGTCTGAGCGTTTTACGACGCGCATGAGCGTCGTAAAAGCCTGTTTTTCTAGTAGTGACTGGAAGCCTAGGTTCCGTACTTGAATCAAGGAAAGTCCCAAAAAATTCTAAGGAACTAGTTGAGGGTAGGAACATGGTTTCACACCATGATTCTGTTGCAACATTTAAGTATTATTAGATTTTAGGTTATGGCGATCCGAGAAGAAGATGAGTCGGGTGACTGTTTGGGCTTTAGTGGCCATGTTAGTTAGGGTTGAATGGTGCAGACTTAGATGAGTAGTTGATTTTGAGGTCTTGGGGGCCCTACTTGAGGTAGGGTCAGTTTGAGTCATGGAACTCAATGAGGGAGTAGTTGGGATAAGCAACTTGAGGATTGCAGTCTCGAGATTGAGTGATCGACCACTGGATTATGATGCCATTTTCTTTGGCGAGGATTCTGTTCTTCCAATTTTTCATGTGTGAAAAGAGAGACATTTCCGTAGATACTATACAAGATGAGGACCAAGGGTATGCTTTCCTTGAGTTCAGTTAGAGCGTGTTCTGGTAGGTTGTTCTAGATGATCAAGAAAAGTGAATTGCGAACAACAACTTTTTTTTGTATCTTGACTATGAGGATGATGCCTCATGTTTTATGATTTTGTATCGCGATGAAGAGAAGGTCAGAGATTCAGAGGAGAAGTGTGTGGTAGTTCATTTGTTCTTAGATGGAGAATCTATGCTACGAATGGGCTATCAGAGTTATTGCTCGTGCATTTGCATGGGATTCTTCATGATAGAGGCGGTTACAACCGGGAAGTTTCTGACGTCTCCATCTGAGATTCAGAATGTCTTTGAGTTGTTTGGTCTTTACTTGGGAGATTATCTTGCGTTGTTATACATTCCAAGAGTTAGGGATGATATGTAAATGGCTGAGTTGGTTTGAGTGGGGTTTATCTGAACATCAGTTGGTGATAGTTCGGACCTAAGTGGGGGAGAACTAGGCATGTTATTTGAAAGATCATCGATCTGTTTGAGTTCGCGGTTTCAGAAGAATGGGTTATAGGGATTTGTGGTCCGGATATGTGAGGCTTTGGTTGAAGATGTGGTCAAGACAGGGTGTAAAGCAAGTTAACCTTTGTTTTATGAGCTCAGGAATGCATGAGTCATTTTTGCAGCAAGAAGGTGTTGGTCAGGGATCTCATTGTAATCAATGGTTCTTTTGGGTTCGCGGATGTCTAGGTCATGAGCCGTTTGGTTCGCTCGGGTTGAATATCGGTTTTTGAAGGATTCGTCAATAGGGTATAGATTGCTACCTATTGTCTAATATACGCAGTGGTTTATCACTCAATCAACTTCAGGGTTGGGTATATGTAGTCATACATGAGTTTAGTTCATTGGAAAACTTTGGATTATCGAGTTGTTGTTAGTGCATTTTCGATCGTTCGTTGTTCTCATTCATATTCAATGGGTGGGGATGCTTCAAACATTTTGATATGTATAATTGGAGGTCAATGATCGTGACAACCAATCGTCATGTTCTGTTATGATATATCATGGCTTTTGGGTACATTAATCTAAATTGTTGGATTGTGGAATTATGGTCTATAACAGACTTGGATTTGTTTTGTTAGTAGGAAGAACATTAAAGTTATTATCTATCAGTTCAAATTGTGTGTCTTTTGGGTTCCTTGTCATCAGTTGGGATTGTAGAAGGATGTGGAATTGTATCAAGGGAAGATACTTTGGGATACAACAATCCTGGTCAAGAGTAGTATAATGTTTCATCTGGTTTGGGGTGTGATCACTCGATATCATTTGATCATGGGATCTTATTAAAATAAGCTCAATGTGGTGGTGATTAGGTAGGAAGATGGTGGGATGGTTAGGTAATCTAGTGATTATGAAGTTATCAAAATGTAGATGAATCCAAGTGAGGGATGGTCACTTGGGGTTGTCGGGGATAGTTCCAAGTGTGAGCCACTTTAGAATTTGTGCCCATGTTATAGGTTTGGATCGGTATATCTGGATGGAGTGCTAGGGTTACTTGAGGTTGGGAAGAATCCAAGATAGGTCAGAATTATGAGCGTAGAGTAGGCTACTGTTTGGCCAGCGGGGCCTTAAACGGCATATAAGAAATTGTTTGATTAAGGAATAACTGGGAAGGCCAGTGATGAAACAATAAAATTATAGAACGATAGATTCAATAACAGTAAAGTGAATCAAATAACAAGAAGAATGATCAGCGTTTTGATGAATGATTAATAATCAATGTCTTAGAAGAGTTCAACGAGAACTGTTCTGTAAAGACATTGTAGGGAATCTCAAAGATGATTTACCCTAATACAATACATGTATGCAATATTTATAGTCTAACCCTAGCATCACAATAGTGGATGGACAGGCCCAATCCATTAATAAAGACTAATTACATACATATTAAATTTGACACAGCACAATAAATGACCCAACAATCTCCCCCTTTGTGTCTAATAAGGACTGGAGATCGTTCACTATTGTTGACGTTTCTGAACTTTGAACTGTTTTGACATTAGTCCAAGAAGAGTGTTCCGAACAACAATGTACCACTTCAGCATATCTGAGAAACATTTCTTATCCGAAGATTCATTCACTTTACATGCTTCGATTATCTCCAAGATATAGGTCAGATACGAAGTTGAATACAAATGTTTTTCCAACAGAAAGAACGAACATTTTTGAACTCTTTCACCTTTTCTTCTTTGAAATGCCACACTCCAGTTATCCTTTCAGATTCTTTCACTTTCGGATTTCAGAATAGGCTTCTTTCTCAAAACTGCTGCTATCTCCACATCCATTTTGCCAAACTCTTAAATGTAGTAGACTGACATTCTCTTTAGATGAGCCAAGATTGGTTCATATTTTTGTTCATCCTTAGATAAAAGCGAGAACAAGTAAATCCAATCATATGGATTTAAGCAAGGCAAGTCAGCAAGTGAAAACTCAAATACCAAATTTCTTGCCCCTCGGAATTCTTTGAACTGAATGTTAATGAAGTCTTCATTCTCAACAGGTCCAAAAACCTTTACTGCAACTATCTTATTTGAACTCCATGTCTGGTATTGTGGCCTTCCATACTTGAGATAAAATGAGAAAAGCATGTGATTGACATCATTATCCGAAAATGGAGCTTTCTCAATCTTTTCAAAACATCTGAACATGAATGCCTTTGGAGTAATTGGTAAATCAAGTTAAGATTCCGAAGTGTTCTCCAGCTCGAATGACATAGCTAGATCAAGCCAGTGAGTGCTCAGATTTTCAACAGCTTCATTCAGAATCCTTTCCATCGACCAAAGAGGGAAGAGAGTCTTTTGAGTTGCAAGAGTGATGTAACAACCCAACTTTCAAAAGAAAATTTTCATTTTTTGATTAACCAATATGTTGTCCATAAACCATGAAATCTCAATTACATTTGTTATCAAAATTCATATTAAGTACAACATTGTTTCAAATCATCAAAGTGTCCCATAGAAAATGACTAAGAGAGTACACGCCGCACCATCAAGCCTTGCTCATGCCCTTGGGCTCAAATGTACCTGAAACAAATCCACAAACTGTAAGCTAATGCTTAGTAAGTTCCCTAGAGCATACCGCACATACAATCCACAATCCACATATCATATTAGCCATAAAAGCTACACATATCACAAAGCCATGCATACTAACATATAAGGAAGCCCTAGAAACCCTCCTGGGTCTTACTATGGGTGCCATGGGAACCACTACATGGTCTTAGCCCAATGCCTCCCCCCCCCCCCCGAGGTCTTGACCTCGGATGCCAGGGAAACTCTCCAAGGTCTTACACCTAAGTGCATCGGGAACCCCCCGAGGTCTTTACCTAGGATGTCGTGGAAACCCTCCATGGTCTTATACCTAAGTGCCTAGGTAAGCCCCAAGGACTTCCATACAAGTATCATAGATACAACTAGAATATATCACATAACCCAATAGCACATACGTAACAAATAATGTGCGGCCTTGGTGCCTTCGACCCATTGGTATGGTGAGGAGACTCACCTCTTAAATGTTGAACTGATAAGCTAAGATCAGGTATTTCTCCATGCATTGATCCTCCTCAAATACCTATAATCAACATGTGATTCACTTTTCATAATCCCAATAAATATCCATAAAGTCAACCCTGGTCCACCCTGGTCAAAGTCAAGGTCGACAGTCCATGTTGACCTAAACTCACCGAGTTCACCCAGCGACTCGTCGAGTTCTTCCCGAGTTCATTCCACTGAATCCCAATCCAACTCGCCGAGTCACCTTTGTGACTTGTCGAGTTCATCAAATGTCCAGGAAGCCTAAAATCCATTCAGACCAAACCTTAATCCTTCATTGTACTCAATCAGAACACAAAAACGGGCAAACCCCACCCCGAATCGTCGAGTCATCTAAGGGACTCGATGAGTTCCTTCAGTCCTTTTCATGTTCAGCCCTTTCTAGTGGGATCCAAGGTCCCAAACTTTAGATGTACGCTCCCATAGTGAAGATACCACGTAAAGTTGCAAACTTTACGCGCATACATGGCCCTTCAAAGCCATAACATCGAAACTAGGCTTCTTACAAGGTTTTTGTGCATGGAAAGGGGCTAGACTATATAAAGTGAAGAACTTTATGTCATTGGGGACATATAGAGGTCCAGATATGGAACCATATCCTTGTGATTGGCCCAGATCCAAGTTTGACTCCATTTTTCCCCAAAAATGGCCATTTACTTGCAAAAGAAGGGATCTAATCAACTAAAGATAAAAGTGACAGCCTTATACCTCAAGATGATGGCTAATGCAGAGTAGATGTCGATTCTTTGGCTCCTCGCCTTGCTCCTTCTTCTCCAAGATCTAAATTCTTTCACAAATACTCCAAAATTACTCACAACAACTCTTTTTCTCACTCAATGAGGTGCAAAGACGAACTAGGGCTTTCTCTGGATTATAGGGTGGTAAGGGAGGCCACAAGAGGTGGGTCATGTTCTTTAAATAGGATGAAACCCCTAAAAGTTAGGGTTTCTCTTTAAAGCTCCTACTCGTCGAGTTGGGGCCTTCTGACTCATCGAGTAGGTCCCGAATCCCACGTCCTCATATAGTCTCTACTCGACAAGTTGGAGCATCCAAACTCGCCGAGTCCATTCACAAAACCATACAAATCATATAAACTACTCAATACCTGGGACAGGTGTTACAAGTGACCTTTTCATAACGAGCTTCTTTTTCACAAGCTTCAACTTCTTGATTAACATGCATAATCTCATCAAGTTCTTTATTGCGTTTCTTTCTTTTGAGCTTTGCTCCTTCAGATAGATCTTCTTATTCTTCATCATCATCAATGATTTTTCCTTTGTATTTTGATCCGGAAGCTTCACTACCTTTCTAGTCAAATTTTGGTTTCTATTCATGTTGCTCATCAGAATTTTCCATCGGCTGGGGTGGATCCTTCTGAATCTTTTCTTAAGTAACCTGCTCCCCCCTTGTTTCGGAATAGCACTGCTTCCCGAAATACACTTTAACTGATTAAGCAATCTGAACATGGGTTTGATATTTTCTGAAAGATGATGTCTGACTGAAATGGTGAGAATTGAATCACGAGTTTCCTGCAATTTTTGTAAATACTCATTGATGTACGAAATGTAGCTTCGAAGGACATCCTTATTAGATTTGAGGGAATCCAAACGCATGGTTGCGGAGCTCAACTTGATAGAGAGAACCTTAACTTTTTCAGTTTTATGAGCTAGTTTGTCCATAAGTGCTTTTTCAGTAGCAAGTTCCTCCTATAGCTTCTCAATATTGGACACTATGGAAGCACTCATCATGGCATTATCAACCCTGAATTCCGAACGAACCTTAGATAGAGCATATTTTTCAAGTTGCAGGGTAGTTCCGAGACCTGTGATAACTTTGTTTGTATGAGGTCCGAAATTCTTCCATGAACTTTGTAACCTCAGAAATTAGTTTTTCGACTTTTTCGATCATATCCAAAACTGTTTTCTCAAAGTTTTCAACTGATTTTGAAGATGATGCAAGGATTTTAGCATGTTCCTTGGTGAGAGTCTCAATTAACGATTTGTGAGCCTCAAAGGAATACTCATTGTTGGACGAGGATTTGGAAGACTCGAGCAGAGTATCCAACTTTTCATTAATAGCCTTGAAATGCCCTTTCGTCATGAGGGCTTCTTCGTCATCACTAGATTGATGAACAGTGAAGGGACTAAAATTGAAAGACTGAAAGTCTTCTTGAGCATCCCCAAAAACAATATTTAGATCATCTTCTCTCAATGGTGAAGCGGTGGAGGTACTTGGACCGATTGTAACACTAAAACCGAATACCCCCATATCAGATACGTTGACAATCGATGTGGGAGTATTGATGGTGGTTGTGGTTCCCGTGGAGTCGATATACAACAGAGTAGAGAAAGGAACGAAAGCTTGAGGTTGAGAAACTCCAATAGAAACATTAGGGAATGGAGAAATAGTGATTGGTGTAGAAGTAGTAATTGGAGAAGGTAGAGGAGAAGGAAAGTGAAAGGAATCATATGTTAAAGGAACAAAAGTTGTGATTGGAGATGATGAGTTCGTAGTGGATTGAGTGCGGATGGGTTCCGAGACCAAAGGTTGTGAAGTCGCATACCTATCTTTTGTTTCATTCATAACATGTGCACTCCTCCAAACTTCTGAAACGGTTTGGGATTCTAAGTCCTCCTTGGCAACTAGAGAAGGAGACTTTAGTTTTCGAGCAACCTTCTTGATCTTCTTTTCGGAGTTTGAGCCGGCTCGGAAGGTCCAACTCTCCCTTTTTCTTTCCTCCGTTTTAGGGTGTATTTCCCTCCTCAAGTGCCTTTTGCAAATCTTCAGGAATAGGGAGAACACATTAAGCAAGCTTCTTTCGGTATGCATTAATAACCACATTTTCAGTAGAAGTGTTGAGGAGCATGGCTTCCGGAATGGAACCAATAAAATCGAACTTACTAGGATCATATATGATAAAGTTGGAAGTCTGCATAATAGGAATCACAGCAAGAACATAATCACTCTTAACATGAACTTGAAGACGAACAATGGCACATTTGACTATGATCGACCAGAATCGTGCACAAGATATCTCATAATGTCTTGTTGAAGAAAGGGTACTGTTAATAAGTTGTGCCTATAGGATTGAACCATAATCGAGGTTAATCCTTGTGTATAAACCATAGATGATTATGCAAAATAGCTTGATGGCACTGTTTGACCCTATAAGTCGTTCTGAGAAGCTTTTGAACAATAAAGTGAAAAGGAGATTCCACATAGGTGGAAGATTTGGCTTCCTGATTTTTGATAGTAGGGTTATATTCTCAAGATAACCCATATGATAGAACATCTCGATAATCGCTAATGCGGAAATCGATTCAGGATCAACGAGACTTTCTGTTGCATTAAACCCTATAAACCTACAAAATCGGCTCTTGGAGATGGAGGATGTGTTGGAATCTACTTCAAAGGTAATCACCCCTTCATTTGGGTTGTAGTTCGCTGATGAATATGTCGTAGATAGATGAACCAAAGGAACGCATTCAGCCATTGTTAGGGCTTGAGATAGAGGAGAGTAATGTAGGCACTAGATCATCGATTTTAGAGAATCAACATACTTTGATGAATCGAGATCGAGAGTTAAATTATGGTTTGGTTTGATGTTCAACATGACCGTGGAAGCTGGTTGTTCAACAACTGAAGGAGTTTCAGATGAAGCAACCATGAAAGCAATTGGAGAAGATGATGAACGGTGCAAAGAGAGAATATGCTTTTCGCTTGAGAGAAGTTGAAATCTTTTGAAAGTGGTGACGGAAATCAATCGCCAATTAATCTTTTATACATCAGGAGTGGTGAGAGAAATCTGGCAATTGACGATTCTATATCCCGATAAAGGTGCCTAGGATATTGTGACAGCTGTATGTGAGTCAAGCGGTGTGTAACTGACACGCGTGATGTCAGGGTTTTTCAAAATAAACGTGCTTAATTAAAATATTATCCCTTTATGATCGTCGTTTCAATTTTCCCCATTCATAATAAAGCATCATTCTCCATAACCTGTTCTTGGAATTGAAAGTAACCATTCGTAACTGTGAAACCAGACTTCGGAAAAATCACGTGGATTTTTGTGCAAGAGTGTGCCAAAGAAAAAGAAATAAAGCAAATTTTATATGGGAATCTAGGATGTCATTTATAAATCGACATAAAAATAGTTGGATCCAGGGCAATGATCCCTTCCTTCAGAGTCAAGAGAGACCCGGAAGTGTCTGTGTGGTATCCCGTTAAACTACAGTCATCTGTTTGTTGAAAATAGTGAAAGGTTTCTTCTCATCAGGCTGTAAAGGGTGGCTTTAGTTTCATCCATATTCTGAAACTCAACATACGTTTGAAAATCCGAATGATTTACTTGTTTGACCAGTATAGCCATAATAACAAGTATGGTTTGGATATATTTAGGGTAACAAGATAAGTCTTGAAAATCTCAAAAAAAAAACAAAAAAAAAGTTGGATCTTTTGGGAAGAAAAGTCTTGGGTCGAGAGCTTCTCATAAAGATCACTCAAAAATAAAAATGAGATTTCAAATAGGAAAGGTACAAACCATAAAGGTTTTACTCATTAATTCAGTGTTGAAAATCTTGATTAAATTAATTGTTCACCATCAACTTAGAAAGAGGTGTCGGATTTTGGTTTCACTAAAATCATGGTGATAACGATTTGAAGATCATAAACACAGAAGTTGTGTAACCATAAACCTCAGTGGTAATTTCTGAGATTCTCGAGGGTTGCATTTATGAAAGTAAGGTTGATGGAGAAATAATAAGATGGTTCCTAAGAAGGTGTACCTATACTATAAAGGAATGACTAAGTAGTCAACTCTTAACTCTTTGTGATAAGAGTAAGGTAGCTCAATGACTTATGTGACTTTCAACCTCATTGGGTAGACACAATCAGAATGAAAGTTTCATTAAGGCTTTAACATATAGTCTCAGAGGTTTGGGTCAACATGCAACATCATGCTTCTAGGGACACTTAACTAGTGCAAAGATTCGGAATTAAAAACCTTCCCCATCGTTCGGAATTGAGAGCATGATGAATATGTACCTACATCTAAAATGCATGTTGAAAATAACACACAAAATACATAAATATTTTTAAAATTTTGGATTTTTCTGAAAAAGATAAAACATAAATAAAGAAAATATTTTTGTTGTTTTGTATTTTTCTGAAGATAAAAAAGAAAAATAAACTCAAACATAAATGAACAGTAACCTACGAATCCGTCGGAAGATACTTAATATACAAACGACATAAAACTTCTGAACCTTCAGATGAGCAATGGACCCTGAGTCGTTCCAAGAGCTAGCAACCATTCGAAACATGAAGTATAGAATCCAATGCATTCCGAGGGCTCAGAGCAGTTCGGTGAAAGAACACTGCTTTACTTTACTATGCTGATTTTAGAATTGAATCTGCTTCTATCATACCTAAGCCTTGTAGAATCCGATTTAAGGTTAGTTCAGATTAGGATTTTGTAAAGATATCATCTAGTTGATCAGATGATCTTACAAAGTGAATTTCTACATTGCCATCCTCCATGTGTTCCATTATGAAATTATACCTCAGTGTTATATGTTTTGTCTTGGAATGTTGCACTGGGTTGTGGCAAATGCGAATAGCACTTTCAGAATCACAGGATAAGAGGATCATCTTCATATTTATTATGTAATATCTAAGTTGACTTTGAATCTATATCACCTGAAAAGTGCAAGAGGCAGCTGCGATATACTCAGCTTCAATGGTTGATAAGGAGATGCATGTTTTCTTCTTAGATTGCCAACTGATGATTTTGCCATCAAAAAACTAACATCCTCTAGTTGTACTTTTACGATCAAGACCGCATCCACCATGATCCACATCAAAGAATGTTTGCACAAAGAATCTGGAGTTTGAAGAATACCATATTTCGAGAGAGGATGTTCGTCTTAGGTATCAGAAGATGTTCTTTATAGCAATCATATGTGGTTCTTGTGGATTCTCCTGAAACCTGGAACAATAGAAAACAAAAAACATGATATCTGGATGACTAGTAGTTAGGTACATTAAGGAACCAATCATATGTCGATAAATAGTCATATCCGCTACTTGTTTGTCCAAAGATGGCATAAGCTTTGTTGCGAACGCCATGCGAACTTTTACTTTTGAATCTCCCATCATTCCGAATTTCACAAGTAAGGTCTTCGTGTAGGCTTCCTGGTTAATGAAAATGCCCTTCGAACTCTGTCTAATATTTAAGCCAAGGAAAAAGTTAATTGGACCCATTGAGCTCATCTTAAATTTAGTTTCCATCAATTTTCGAAATTCAACGGTTTATTTAGGTTTAGTAGATCCGAAAATGATGTCATCAACATAAATTTGGATGATCATCAAATGGTTACCATCTTTCTTGAGAAAGAATGTTGGTTTGACTGAGCCTTTCTTAAACTTATATTGCTTCAGGAATCGAGTTAGGGTTTCATACCGTACACAAGGTGCTTGTTTTAATCCATACACAACCTTACACAAAATGTAGCAATGATTTGGATATTTCTCATTTACAAAACGTGGTGTCTATTCCACATAGACCGTTTCTTCTAATTCACCATTCAGAAACGCACATTTGACGTCCATTTGA